GGGGGTGCGGCTCGGAGATTGGAGCCTTCCTTCCTCCTCTCCCACCCCTCCCCACGATGTGACCAGGCTCTTCCTTGGCCCCTAGAGCCTGTCACTCACTGAGTTCCGTCTGATTTGCCTCCATGGTTGCAGCTGTGAGGCTACTAGCCAGGGCCTTCCTCAGACTTGGGAGGCTGTCTGCCATCTGGTGAACGTCATCCTGGAGATCTCCTAGCAGGCGTTCCTGCTGTTCCTGTTGCACCTCAACCTCGCTGATCTCTACCGCCGGGTGGCCTGAGTACATGCCAGACATCAGTGTCAAGGACTAACTCACCAGGCCTTGGCAGAGGAGATTCAGGACTGAGAGCAGGGGAGGTATGTGCTGATGTCCTCTGAGCAGGAGCTTAGAAAAGGCTTTAGCCCCAAGAGGGTAAACGGATAGCAAATGAGCCTTCAACCCACCTCCCATACCCACTACAAACATGAACAATCATGGCACATTACCCTCCTCAGCATGTGGGCACTCAACATTCTCAGTAGCCCTTGTCAAGAGATAGGAGTTCATCATATGGTAAAACTCATTTGCCATCTCAACCTTGGGCGCAGCCTAGAAAGGCCCTGCCACAAATGGTATTTCTTGGTGGGTTTCCTGTGCTGACTTCCTGGCCCTGGTTAGAGGCATAGGGGAGGTTGGGAAGGCTTCTTTCAGGTATAAGAGCTTGCACCAGATGATCCAGTCTTTCCCAGAAAATGGGATCAAGAAAAAGGGTATGTGTGCTAAGCCAGCAGGCAGGCAGCTGAGGGCCCTGTGAACCTGGTCCACTGAGGGGGAAGGTGGTGAAGAGCCACAGAGGAGACCTTGCTGATTCTAGGGGGAAGGTTTTCCAAAATTAGCACTGCCTGGCTGGGTGCAGTGGCTCACTCCTGTAATCCCAACACTTTGGGAGGCGGAGGTGAGAGGATTGCCTGAGTCCATGGGTTCGAGACCAGCCTGGGCAACATGGTGAGACTGCGTCTCTACAATAAATAAATAAAAATAGCTGGGCATGGTGGCTTGTGCCTGTAGTTCCAGCTACTTGGAAAGTTGAGGCAGAAGGATCACCTGAGCCCAGCAGATCAAGGCTGCCGTGGCTGCGAGCTTGCACTGCACTCCAGTCTGGGTGGCAGAGTGAGACTCTGACTCAAAAAAAAATGGCACTGAGGAGGAGGGAGGACTGGATACATGAGCTCTGCCAGCTTGCCATGCCTGCCTCTTCCAGGAAAGCAACACACCAGGTTCGAAGCTGGCTGACCCGTCCCCAGGATCCTGGTGGCCATCACCTGAATCTGCAGGCTCAAGGATCGCCGTGGAATCTGCAGAAGAAAGCATCAGATGTTGATCCTAGCAGCCAGCAGAGCTGCTTGATCTCAGGGATTAGAGGACAAGGGTGGAGGGGGCCGCAGGGAGCCCTACCGTGGTGCTGGCAGTTGGGGCCCCTGAAGCCCGGGCAGCACCTCCAGGCCACGGAGGTCAGCACTTCCTGCTTGACGTGGTACACGGGCTTGTGGGTCATTCGGTACCTGGGGAAGGAGGGCGGGATCAGTGACTCCTGGGCGAGCCTGTACAAGGCCTGGGAAAATGGCCGACTTGCCCTCCCCCCACTCACATGACTTTGACTTTCTGGCAGTCTGGAGCCCCTTGTGGACACGGCTGCTGTGAGTGGACGAGGAATTTCTCCGTTTTGCAAGCAGCTATGAAGGTGACCAGCTTGGACATCTGATAGGGGCACCAGTTACTGGAAGACAAGTCAGAGGAAAGGACTGCTGAGCCTCACCCTGGTCAACGGGATGCTGGTGCTGAGCACCCTGTCCAAGCCTCCTGCCCCTGCTGAGATCCTGGAATCCATTAGCCTAAGGAGGGAGCGTTCTACATCATTCATCTCCGGGCTCCAGAGTAAGTGCCCCATGATTCTCACGAGTAAGGGGGGCACCTGCTCCACTGCCTTGCTGAAACTTCCTCTGGGCAAGCACAGAGAGGAGGCTGAGGAGCCCACCAGAATCACACAGCAAAGTTACCCACAGAACCAGAAAGGCTTTCACGGTTTCTCCTGGTGCCAGGGATGCAGAACGGTGCAGCTGGGGTTGGAGAGTCCCGGGTTCAAATCTTTCACACTTTCCGGCTATGTGACTTTGAGCAAAGCACTTAGGGAGTTTCACTTTCCCGGTTTAAGCAACAGAAATCGTAATGCCCCCTTCTAAGTGGGTGGGTGAGTACCAGGTGCCTGACTCCTAACAAGTGCACCATGAACTCGGCTCTACTGCTCCATTCTGGCTGCCCTGGCAGCCTGCCCGCTAACTACTCATGCCTTTCCTCACCAGAGACACTGCTGTAGCAAGGGCACCGGCTCCTTGGCCATGCCCATTAGGACTTTTATAGAAATGGACTTTCAAACAGTTGTTGTAGGGGAAGGAAAGCAGCTGGGTGGGACGGCCTCCTCTCTGGGAAAGGCCATAGCACTGAGATCCTGCAGGATGGTTTGGAGGTCACGCTCAGCATCCCAAACACCAGAGAGGTGGCGCCTCCATCTCTGCCTTTCAGAGCACCAGCATGTGCTGTGGTGGTCCCAGCAGTGGGAGGATGCTCATGCTGATGAGGCCCCAGTTCACTGACCTAGTAGGTGGCCCCACAGGGTCAGTGGGAGGGGTCAGTGAGCCTATCCCCTAGCAGTCAGCTCCTGGAGAAAAACTCTCCAGAGATGCAAGTGGCAATGAATGACCTCTAAGACCCAATTCAACACAGCACCTCTTAGGTGCCAGGAGCCCAGGCTCAAGCTCAGCACTCAGAGTGTGGATATGGAGGTGAAAACTTTCCCTTCAGGGTCCCAAAGAAGAGCAGGTGCTCTCAGAAGGGGTAATAGGTGCCAGGATCTGTAGATAGAGTCTTGCTTACTGCAGTCTCGATCTCCTGGGCTCAAGCGATCCTCCTGCCTCAGCTTCCTGAGTAGCTGGGACTCTGGGCACATGCCACTATGCCTGGCTAATTTCATATTTATTTTTTATAGAGGTTTCACTATGTTGCCCAGGCTAGTCTTGAACTCCTGGTCTTAAATGATTCTCCCGCTTTGGCCTCCCAAAGTGCTGGGATTATAGGCATGAGCCACCACACCAGCTTGGGCTTTGTCTTGAAGGGAGAGAGTCAGATGAGCACCAGGATCCATGTGTGGGGGTGGGAAGGAGCCGCAGAGGGAAGGCTGGGGAGGTAAGGAGAAGCCAGACCTGGGAGGAGGAGCTGGACCCTGTCCTGAGTGCATGGGAAGTCCAAGAGGGGTTTCAGCATAGGAGTGTCCTGAAAGAGCCACCCTATTTCCTTGTTGCAGAAAGGGTGAGAGGGGCAAGAGGTAAAGATATAGGTGGTTGTATCAGAGGCCAAGGTGGGAGATAATGGCAGCCTGAACTGGGTGATGGTGGATATGGGAGAGGTGGCCACATCTGTGAGGTATTAGAAGGCAATGCTCAGAGGCCTGGGTGATGGGAGTAGCTGTCAGTGCTGGGATTTTGTTCTCTGGAGCTGGTCTTTGTCCTGGAGCCATCAGGTGCTATCACACAGGGATAATTCTGGGAAAGGCAAGGGGGACACTTGAAGGGGATGGAATACCATATCCATTCCGAGTGCTGAGCCTCCAGCCTGCTTTCCCACTTGGCTCCCAGAAGCCCGGCAGCCAGCCTTTACCCTCTCAGCAGCAGACTGGAAAGGCTTCTCAGGAAAATGGCCCTGCTAAGAGGAAAGATCTTAAAGTTACTGACATCAGAGATTCCCCCAACGAAATAGCCCAACCAGAGCATCCTATAACCAAATGGATCAGAAAGTGGCATCCAAGCATTCCAGCTTCCAATCAACTTCTCAGTCTCCTTTCTCTTAAGTGAGCAGACATCTCAGGATCACCCCTGAGAAATATCTCTATTACAGAAGAGGAGGTCAAAATGGGCAAGTGGAAAAAAGTCAACTTGGAAAAAACCAAGACCATGCAAGGAGAAGAGAACTTCCCCAAAATGTGCACTAATATTTCCAGATTGATAAGAGAAATTTCTGCACCCAAGAAACAAGAACAGGAAGCTATAAAAAATAATGGAGAGGATGGGAAAGAAGGGTTGGATATTCAGAGAACAAAAGAGAACTCTTGGAAATTAAAAGCATAGCAGTAGATATGAAAATAAATTTAATAAAAATGTTAGAGGGTAAAGTGAAAGAAGTTTCCCCAAAAGAAGAGCAAAAAAGCCTGGGCACGTTGGCTCATGCCTGTAATCCCAACACTTTGGGAGGTCGAGGCGAAAGGATTGCCTGAGCCTAGGGGTTTGAGACCAGCCTGGGCAACTTGGTGAGACCTCGTCTCTACAATAAATCAAAAAATTCGCCGGGCGTGGTGGTGCATGCTTGTGGTTCCAGCTACTTGGAAAGCTGAGGTGGAAGGATCGCCTGAGCCTAGCCGGTAGAAGCTGTGGTGGCCATGAGTGTGCCACTGCACACTCCAGCCTGGGTGACAATGAGACTCCGATTCAACAACAACAACCAAAAAACAGCCGGGCTCGGTGGCTCAGCCTGTAATCCCGCGCCTTTGGGAGGCTGAGGTGAGTGGATTGCCTGAGCCCGCGGGTTCGAGACCCGCCTGGGCAGCGAGACCTCATCTCTACAATAAATCAAAAAATCAGCCGGGCGTGGTAGCGCATGCCTGTAATTCCAGCTACTCGGAAGGCCGAGGTGGAAGGATCGCCGGAGCCCAGCAGGTCGAGGCTGCGGTGGCCGGGAGTGGCCACTGCACTCCAATCTAGGCGACAGAGTGAGACTCCAACTCAAAAACAACAACAACAACAAAAATCACCATCGTGTGGTACTGTAAGCATAAGAGTTTCTGGGCCTCATCCAAGCCATCCTGAGGTTGGAGCCTGAGCATTAGCATCTTTAAGCTCTCTGGGTCATTCCAAGGCACAGCCCAGGAATGCGTACAACTGTGCACAGAAAGTGCTCCACCAAAACGAGGGAAAACCAAGAGAGAGAAATCATGGTACCCAGGATCAGGTTCCAACTCAGAAACTAGGTGAGGGGAGCCCCAGACAACAATGGGCTGTGGGGATAAGGGGCAACAATCCAACCTGGAGCACACCAGAAGGCTCTTGGAGCAGCATCTCCAAGAAGACGCAGCTGGTCAAACAGCCAGCATGAGTGAGAGTGTTGAGAGCAGATGTGGACAACTGGCTGAGAGTTTAGAATTGGAAGATAGAAAACTGAGCAAAAGAAAAAAGCAAGACAATTATTTATGCCCGGGAAAACCAGAAGTTTGCATGGAGGCAAAAAAGATTCATGGTTTATTTCAAGGTTCTACTCTAAGCAGTATATACACAGTGCTATGAATGCGTGTACATGCATTCACTTTGGAGTTAGGGGGTGGGCTAGGAATGAGAGCAGAGTCATAGATGAAGGCAGCAGAAATGTAAGCATGTCATTCAGAGATACAGAGATAAATGGGAAGGATCACCTAAAAAGTTGAAAGTCATTGTCTTTGGGGAACAGACAGCCCTGAGGTTTCTGACTATCCTAACAAACCTTGCAGAATCAGTTGACTCTGACCCAAAAGTCACCAAACTTTTTCTCTAAAGGGACAGATTATAAATATTTTACACAAGACCAGCTACATAATCTTCAGGGCCCACTGCAAAATGAAAATGTGGGGTCTCTTGTTCCAAAATTAAGATGGAGACACCTAGCATGGGGCCCTTCAGAGTCCAGGGCCTTGTGTGTGACTGCACACATCATGTGTCCCTGCAGCTGGCACTGATTTTAGGCTTTCCAGGCCATATGGACTCTGTCACATATACTCAGCTCTGCTATTGTAGCACAAAAGCAGTCAGGACATGTAAATGAATGAGTCTGGCTGTGTTTCAATAAAACTTTATTAACAAAAACAAGTGGTGAGCCAAATTGGGCCCACTGGCCGTAATTTTCCAACCCCGCCTACTGGTACGTGTAGATAATAAAAATGACACTTAAATAAATAAAAATTATTTCCCTCTGGAAAAGAAGATGCAGATGAATCATCAACAACATTTTAAAAGACAACAAGTGGAGAGTTTATCTTCTAATGATCAAGACTGACTCTGAAAGCCGAGTAATGAAAACAGTGGAGCACTGACCAGGATTTGACAAGCCAGTCACAGGGAACAGAGACCAGGAAGGAGTGCGTGCCTCCCTGAAGGATTAGTAAATGGTAGAAAGGGGGCACATCAAGATCAGGAAGGAAGGAAGGAAGGCTGGCTCACCCAGTGCTGAAACAGAGGACTGGAAGAGTGCTGGACGTAGAGCTCAGAACTTGGGTGAGAAGCCTGCCTGCACAGACACCTGCCGTGGGCCCCATAGAAACTCCTAGAATGTGGGCTCAGCCCTAGGGAAAAGTATCTCTCTAGACCAGTGATTCTCCAAGGAGAAGAGGGGACTTTCTGCATGTGTATTGTCATGACTGGGTGGTGGGTGCTACCCATGACTGGACATCTAGTGGGTGGGGGCCAAGGATACTGCCAAACACTCTACGATGCACAGGACAGCCCACGCACCCCACAACAAGGGATTATCCCATCCAAAATGTCAGTCGTGCCGAGACTGAAAAACTCTCTCTAAACAAGACTCCTTTCCTGACCCACCCTCTGCCAACTGCTGAAGGCCTAGAAAGCCTGTGCCCTGGGCACGCCTGGCCTGGTCCAGCCTGCCAGGAGAGACGGGGACTTTCCACCTCGAGCTCCTGGAACTGGAAACTGTGCCGCCCACCCTTCCTGCCCAGGAACTTTCTCTTCTGACCCGCCTGGACCTCGGGCGCCAGTGGCTGCTGTTCTCCCTGTCCACGCTCCCCTGCCCTGGGCAGGCCCTCCCTTGGCACAGTACAGGCTGCTGGCCCAGCAGCCCTGGGAACATTCCTGACCTTTGCTTTGGTTTCCTCCAGCTCTTGGCAGCTTCTCACTGGTCCTCGGCACCCGTGCCCCTGGCCCAACTTGCTGAAGCGCCCCATTGTTCTCACTGCCCCTCCGTCTCAGGCCGGGTCCCTCTTTGAACCCTCCCCTAGGGAGTCCTGCTGAGAGGAGTCATCTAGGGAGTCATCTCCTAATGGTCTGCTGAGGGGCAGGTGCTAGCCCAGAGTGGGTGTGGAGGTCGGGGTCCTCTGAGCTGGTTGGAGCCTGTCCTTGACCTGCCTGTGGCCACAACCTGCTGCCTGCCCTCCCAGACGGAAGAGTCTGCTGATCCCTTTGGAGTTTCTAAATGGGAGCTAGGAGGCCTGGGCTCTCCTCCCCTTCCTCCTTCCTGAACTCAGGGTGACCTTCAGCAAGGCCTGGAAATGTGAAGAAGCTGTGTCCCTGGGAGCATGGGTGGGCGGGGGGGGGGGGGGGAGAGTGGCGCGTGGGTAGTGTAAGGAAGGCAGAGAGCCTCTAGCAGGGAAGGAACCATTAGCTGGAGCTTCCTGCATAATGGATGTGCTGCCACTGATGTGATCTCAGCAGCCTTGCTTTCTGAGGCTCTGAATCCAGCCATTAACGTAGACATCCCAGGGGGGCAACTCGCAGGGCTTTGTCCTTGAGCCAGAAAGGGGCAGAGAAGCCTCAGGCCCACTCAGCAGCCAGCCCAGAGCCAGGGTTCCACCAAAGTTCCCTGAGTGTGGTTCTGGAAGCTTCGGCTGTGGCCAGAGGAGGTTCTTTCCTATTCACGTCCAGGGACCTGTGGTCGGGTAGCAGGAGCAGGATGCAGGAGGTGCAGCATGGCCCAGAGACGGTGGCCAGGGCTCCAGCCGGCTCCGGTGTGACCTCCAGCGATATGCTGGGCTGCAAACTCCCCGCTGCCAAAATCCCAAACGCTCCTTGTGTGAGGGTCTACGGAAGCCTGCTGTGGGTGACCGAGGCCAGTGAGGCTGCTGGGAGCACCATGTCTTTCACTACCACCCCTCTTGGGGGGGATGAGGCAGAGGATAACTGAGTGGCCATTTAGGAGCTTTGTGGCCCTGGGTAGCATCTCCCATTGCTTTGAGCTGCCATGACAATGTGGTAGATGGGACACCTTGCCTGGGGCTGAGCATGGTCACTATGGCAGCCTTAGTCCCACTAGGGTAGCAAGTCCTGGTTCTGAAGAGTTCAGATTCTAAATGCCCCCACCAAACCCGGGAGCATGAAAAGAGCCCCCTCCTCACAGAGTCCCAATACTCATGTTGCTGGCTCCCTAGACATGCTCCTCAGTATCCCCGGGGGACCTAGGAAGCAGTTAACAATGTCCTTCCTCCACCCCAGGACCTGGCTGTCCCTGGACATAGTTGTTCTGTTCAAGATTCTCCTTGCGAAGGGTCTTATTGGGATCTGTGTCCAGGGCCCGCCCTGACCTGGGACTCTGGAAGCAAGTGTGAGGGGCAAATGCAGGACAGGACGCCTGGCTCTGGCAGCAGAGCCCCATCTGCTGCTAGTGTGCCTGGCCCACTGCCCCCTCCCCTGCAGCAGGAGGGGGCTGGAGCACACTTCCGCCTCCCCTGTCACAGAAGCGCAGGAAGCAATCAGCCCAGGAAGTCACAGCGGTTCCTTCCTTTCTCACCAGCCCCTCCGGACGCCTAGACAACGTGGGCTTGGCCTGTGGGGACCACAGCTGCTAGAGCTGTGGAAAGGAGACCTCAGCAGGCAGGGGGGCCCAGACTTGGGCTTTTCTGGGCCAGGTGCGCACAAAGCCTGCCCCCCCAGGGAATGGCTGAGGGACCCCCACAGGGCTGTTCATCAGCAGTCCCCAGTCCCTCAATCCCTGAGGCTAAGGGAGCGCTGTCCCTCCCCACATCCAAGGCAGTGGGGAGAAAGAGGAGCAGCCCCCTTCTCCTTCCTGTCCACTGAGTCCCTTCATCCTCCCTTTCATCAAAAGGAGGAAGATGACACAGAGATTCGGCATGAGGGAAGAGAGAAGGCTTGGTCCTCGGTCCTGAAATCAGAGCTGGTGACTGGATTTCCCGGATCAAGAATCACCTGCACCTCCCAGCCCTGAGCGCGTCTGGGGGTGGGCAGGAATGGGCTTCTCCACAGCCAACTGCTCAGGCCACTTCTTCCCACGCTGCCAGTCTCTCCCTCACTAAAGATCGATGTGCACTTACTTACTCTCACCCTTCTGCCACCTCTCCCTGGTCAAATCTGCTTTTGGGAAGATGTCCAACAAACATTGACCTGGAAGCATCAGAAGCTGAATGAGACCTATCCCAGGCAGCTTTGTCCCATGAGCCAACGCTATAGTGACTTTTATACATCCAGATAGAAGTCTCTGGGTGAGGCCGGGCTCGGTGGCTCAGCCTGTAATCCCGTGCTTTGGGAGGCTGAGGTGAGTGGATTGCCTGAGCCCGCGGGTTCGAGACCCGCATGGGCAACTTGGCGAGACTTCATCTCTACAATAAATCAAAAAAATTAGCCGGGCATGGTAGCACACGCTTGTAGTTCCAGCTACTCGGAAGGCTGAGGCAGAAGGATTGCCAGAGCCCAGCGGGTCGAGGCTGCGGTGGCCGGGAGTGGCCACTGCACTCCAGTCTGGGCGACAGAGTGAGACTCCAACTCAAAAAGAAAAAGCAATTTATCACGTACAACATATTTAATAAACATATGCATTACCTCACATACTTATCATTTTATGTGGCATGCATACTTAAAAATCTACTGCTTAGTCAGGCTCGATGGCTCAGCCTGTAATCCTGCGCCTTTGGGAGGCTGAGGTGAGTGGATTGCTGAGCCCGCGGGTTCGAGACCCACCTGGACAGCGAGACCTCATCTCTACAATAAATCAA